TCGAGTGCCCGAAAACAGTACAATACACTAGATGACAAAACACTGCTGGCTTTTAGACAGTTTAAAATGGCCACCACCACATGTTCGTTCATACGAACGACGACCACCCAGTCAACCACTCAGAATGTTGAGGTGTTTGCGGTTTCCCAACATGTTAGAAAGGTTAAAGGGGTCAATAGGCAGCACATTCCAACTACTAGGTGGTCAGTCGTTCGGTAGTTGGTTCGGTTTTTCGAATGAGATCACGATATCCATAGGGAAAGTTAGGATTACCGAACAAACAGAAGAACTAAGGAAATAAAATATAAAATCCAGGGACAGAGAGGTCTGTCACAGCATACACAGGAAAACAATAGGTGACTCAGCTCCCAAAGGAAAAAGTCACAACCCCCACCCACATGGTCACAGTCTCTGGTTCAGCGCAATCTCGTCCTTCCTTGTTGTGGCTAGGTCTAAGTCTGTGCGATCTAAATGGTTGCTCTCCACCAGAGCCCACCCAAAGAATGCACACTGCCTTTTATGCCTTTCTCAGGCCAGACAATCCATAACCACCACTCAGACAGATCATTGTCTTCAATGATCCCACGTATGTAAACACATATATCATTACCTATTGGCTCTACCACATTCCGAAACAAGTCAACACGCACCAACAGTAGAGATAACATACTATCCTACCCACCTCAAACGGTGTCCAGTTGCGGTCCTAGATTCCTACCTTCAAAATCCTTTAAGGAATTAAATACCGTAATGCATTTAAGGAAATGTCTGGTTAATTTGTATATATTGTTGACTGTATTAAATCTTTGATTTTTCTTTTTGCCCTCTTTATTTACAGGCCTACCGTATAGTCGGTCTCGGCACACCACAACCGACTTGCTCCCTTTATACTATCCTACACTTATGCTGGAACCTTACTCCATATACGGCTATTTGCCCTGAACACAAGTTTTAAGGCCGTTTGGCCTGTATTTGTGGGAGGGGCTTAAATTAATTCACTCCCCTATATAAGGGACACCCCTTACCTGACTCATATCGCTTGAGGTCAGCATCAGAATGACCCTCCCACCCTCTCCTCATTTCAACACTTTCTCTTTTCTTTCCATTTACTTTACTTACTTACTCCTTGGTGGGCCCTCTTTATTTACAGGCCTACCGTATCGTCGGTCTCGGCACACCACAACCGACTTGCTCCCTTTATACTATCCTACACTTATGCTGGAACCTTACTCCATATATGGCTATTTGCCCCGAACACAAATATATATATATATATATATATATATATGTGTGTGTGTTTGCAAAAAAACAGATAAAATTTGAATCTTGTAATACCTTTTTTATTGGACTAACAGGATTTTTTAATGACAAGCTTTTGGGAGACCCTCCCTTTCCCAAGTCTGAAGCATTTCTGAACAAGACGGCACATAGAATTCAAAGTTGAGTTATGATACAGGGGTTAAAGTGAAATGAGTGCAGATAAGACACAAGTTTTTTTTAGAAAATAGACACCATTTTTGCTGAGGATCAGTGGCGTACACATGACCCATGGGGCCCCGGTGCGAAAATTGATCCGTGGGCCCCCCCGCGCGCGGGCCGGGCCGCAACACATGGCGGTGGGCACCTGGTCGCAGGGGTTACAGGGCTGCGACCCCTGCGACCGCGGTATGTACGCCAGTGCATGCAGATGCACACACACTTAAAGGACCACTCTAGGCGCCCAGACCACTTCAGCTTAATGAAGTGGTCTGGGTGCCAGGTCCAGCTAGGGTTAACCCATTTTTTCATAAACATAGCAGTTTCAGAGAAACTGCTATGTTTTATGAATGGGTTAAGCCTTCCCCTATTTCCTCTAGCGGCTGTCTCATTGACAGCCGCTAGAGGCGCTTGCGTGCTTCTCACTGTGATTTTCACAGTGAGAGCACGCCAGCGTCCATAGGAAAGCATTATGAATGCTTTCCTATGTGACCGGCTGAATGCGCGCGCAGCTCTTGCCGCGCGTGCGCATTCAGCCGACGGGGAGGAGAAGAGGAGGATCAGAGGAGGAGAGCTCTCCGCCCAGCGCTGGAAAAAGGTAAGTATTACCCCTTTTCCCCTTTCCAGAGCCGGGCGGGAGGGGGTCCCTGAGGGTGGGGGCACCCTCAGGGCACTATAGTGCCAGGAAAACGAGTATGTTTTCCTGGCACTATAGTGGTCCTTTAAAGGACCTCTACAGACACCCAGATCACATCAGCTCAATGAAGTTGTCTGGGTGTCAGGTCCCTCTAGTTGTAACCCTGCAGCTGAAAATGTAGCAGTTTCAGAGAAGCTGCTATGTTTCACTGAGGGTTAATCCAGCCTCTAGTGGCTGTCTCACTGACAGCCGCTGGAGGAGCACACTGAACGTCCATAGGAAAGCATTGAGTAATGCTTTCCTATGGACGGTTTGAATGCGTGCGCGGTCGCATTCGGAGCTGAAAGGCTGAGGGATCCTCAGCACCAAGGGAGTCCGGCGCTGGAGAAAGGTAAGTGCTGAAGACACACACACACATACACTTACAGACGCATACACACTAGCTAACAGACACACACCTTTACTGACAGAGACACAGTCAGTGACAGACATACATACACACTCACTTACAAAACACTCTTATTGACAAACACACACTCACTAACAGACATCAAACAGACTCACTAACACACACACACTCAGTAAGACACGCACAGTAACACACTCACTGACACTCACTAGCAGACACACACACTCACACTCACTAGCAGACACACACACTAACACTCACTCAAACACTCACACTAACTAGCAGACACACACACTAACACTCACTCTAACACTCACACTAACACTCACTAGCAGACACACACACTAACACTCACTCTAACACACACACACTCAAACACTCACACTAACACTAGTTTTTTTTGTTTTTTTATGTAATCCCCCCAGCCTCCTTACCTTTTGGAGTGCTGGGGGGAT